CTATGCAGTTACGCCATTGTTTCTTGCTCTCTTGGAACCGGCCAAACATCGACATCTTGCCGTCGGGAGGAGAGGAGGGGACCGCCGGGTGACTGCCTGGGTACGATCTGGCCCTTAATACCTGGGAGAATAAGTCAGTACTGCATGTTTGCCATGTTACAAGTTGAGTCGTGTAACACGACTCAACCTGTTTTTATGTGTAGACTTGACTTACAAGACAAGCGTACAGCGTGACACTGGGTGATGCGACTCTGTCAAGGGAGATCTCCAGAGCGAGCAGGGGAACAGCTGGATCTTTATTTCAAGAGCCCATTATCACAGCTGAAGTGGAGAGCAGGGCCTAGATTCCGAGCGGTTCTGTTAGTGTGGAATGATCGAGGCTTGCTCACAGCGGCCTCACCATCCGAAGTTACCAAGTTCAGTTGGCTCGGCTCCACCAGATCCGAGTTGCCGAATTCGACATGCCCTTTCGACTAAGAAGACCCTGAGTCTATACGCTACAGCCACTACGAGGTAGTAAAAGAGGCTAAAACTGTCTTTTTCTTACCGGCAAAGCACAAGGGATGCGCTAAAACAAGTGTCGCCCTTATCGCGGGATTTCTTGTTCCTCTTGTTATCCCTTGACATCCATGTCTTACAACAACTGTCCAGACAGGTCAAGCATGACCAGCAATGCCGAGACGCGGCAATGCATCTTTAACGTCACAATATTCACCGTTGAAAAAAGACGATTGAACCCTTGATCTTGGCAGTGATTGTCGCTATCGTGCCTGGGACCTGGGCTGGTCAACGGGGCCCGCGCGTCTGGAATGCAGGGCCAAACTATCAGGTACGCAAACAGCAATAAACACGACAATCAACAAAGACCAACGATTCTAGCCCCCCACCCAGCGCAAGCCACGATTGGTTCTCTCGTAGTTTCCGGCATCAAAGTTTCCACGCTTTCGTCGTATCTGCCTACAATCAAGCTTTTTGAGGCGCTTCTAGTCGCCGAGAGCGTTTGCTACACGGCGCTACCCACCGAATGCTTCTTTGCTAAGCGAATTTCTCGAGGTCCAGGCGTTAAAGAACTTCTGGCTTGTCCGTGCAGCATGCCATGTGAAGAGATATCGCATTTCTAGACTTTCTGGTTTTTTCAGCCCTGCTGCTTTGGGTCTGGACATCCCGGGGAACTGGAAGCTGGGGATTTCCAGATCAGAGTTATGGAGCTGAAAAGCAGATCGTATCATGCATTTGTCACACCACCCGCCTTGGCGGCAAATAAGCTCTTTGGCCCTCTGGACCAAGGGCAAATGAGGAACGGGTTAGTGAAGTCTTGTTGGATCTAGTGAACTTTGGGTATCCCCTGCTCTCAAGGGCTGATCATGGATTCACCAAACGAGTCTCCTTCCACCGAGGCGTCTAACATTAGATGCCGCCCAAACGATCGTTTTCATGTAAACTAACCCAACCTAAAGGCCTTTAAAGAATTACGAGATCTTATGAATAGGCTGTTGCGGAAGCATAGGCATATGCTTAAACGGCAGACATAACGGGTGCACGACCTACCCTAATCTAGATGAAGAATATCTATAGTTCGAGTTCCAGAGACTAAATAGCAGACTCTAACTGTCAAGATCTATAAGATCGTTTTAGGCAGAGATTATAAGATAAACCATAGACTGTAAATATATGTTTTTACAGATTGCCAGTAAAGAAAAATCTAGAATAGAAATGTTAGTGTCCAGTAGTAAAAGAATAATAGAGTAGTAAAATATAAAAATTAATTATTATAGTACTTCAGCTACCAAGACAAGCTGAGTATATTAAAAAAGTAAGTAGAAATTACAGAGATCATAAACAGATGCAGGTTACTAAAAGTGATAGAAATTAGTAGTAAGGTCAAAAAGAAGTACTCGACGTGGGCCTGATTCGAACAGACGCCCCCGAAGGGAATAGATTTCTAGTCTATCGCATTAGACCACTCTGCCACCACGCCTTTTCAGTTACAAGAGGGAGTTCCAGCGAGGACTATATCGCAAAGTCCATCCTGGCCTTACCCCATGTACAGGACCAGGCTATGACTGTCGGTGTTCTAAAAATTATCTCCCCGGGCTTGGACTATCTGCAATTTCGACTTGTGAATACGAAATTTGTCTTCCCTTGCTCCCACGTGCAATTATTCTGTATCACATTCGTCATCAGCAAAGTGGATTCAATTCCCAATCACCACGCTCTGATTCGCCCGCTCGTAACAGAACCCATTCTTCTCCTCCCTCACCAAAAACGCAAACTCAAAAGTTCGGCAAGGATTATAATTAACAACAAAAAATGCCCTCTCACGAAAATGAATACGAGATAAATACCCATTCCTCTACCGCGCGCTCTCATGCCGATTTTCCGTGGTACCCCTTGCAGTCTCGTATTCAAGATGTCATCGCCCCAGGCAGACTCATTATCGTCGGTGACGTACATGGCCATCTGCCCGAACTGAAGAAATTACTCGAAAAAGTCTCGTATGACAGATCCAATGGCGACAAACTTATATTTGTTGGAGACTTGATCAACAAGGGTCCTGATAGTCCCGGTGTTGTCCAGTTGGCGATCGAGCTTGGGGCATGTGCCGTAAGAGGGAATAATGAAGACAGGGTGCTTGCTGCGCATTCTGCTATCAAAAGGGGGGAGGATACGAAGCTCATTGAGAGGTTGAAGAGGTTGGCGCTTGAAGAGAAAAAGGAGAACGAGGTCAAAGAGGGTGAAACGGCCGCAGCCGAGAAGAAGGCGGATTTGAAGTCAATATCACCGGAGGACCTCAAACTTTACAGCTCGGAAACCGATTTTACAACTGCCGCCAATCTTACTGATGAGCAAATTTCCTGGCTGGCTTCGCAGTCGCTGATTCTACGGATCAAACTACGAAAGGGAGCGACATCACCACCCTGGAACTCTGGGACTCTGCTTGTCGCGCATGGCGGTCTGGTCCCCTTACTTCCACTGGAAGAGCAAGATCCATGGGCCGTCATGAACATGCGAGGACTGGTTTACGAAGACCCAGAAGCTATGGTCACTGAGCCTATTCGAGCAGGTCTACTCAAGGGAGCCAAGAGTCGGACACGACGATACGCAGCATACCACGATACCACTGATGCCGATATAAAAACCGAGTTGGAGAAATGGGCAGATGTTGTTAACAATGGCGAAGGCTTTAGTGGTGAGTACAAAGAGGGGGTTATTGGATTTCCTCTCGAAACTCGAGAAGGCGACTGGTGGATTGATGCTTGGAATCGATGGCAGAACTCGATTGAGGATCCGGAGAAGCGCAGTATCGTCGTCTACGGCCATGATGCAAGAGTTGGAATACAGGTCGGCGCAGACTCGCCCGAGGTTGCAAGATATACCTTTGGTCTGGACTCTGGCTGTGTATATGGGAAGAGTTTGACGGCTATGGTCATTGATCAGAAGGTGGATGGCAAGGGACTGTCACATTCGATAGTCCAGGTTGATGCGATCAAGAAGGATGAAGAGAATGAATGAGACGCGGTTTGATATCCCCTTCTGCTTCATTATCTTCAAGAAGATGTGACGAGGCTGCAGATCATCATCGTTGCAGCTGCTGTTGCTGTTGCTCCTCATAATCTTAGATTTAGCTGCGTCATACTCCAGCGCGAGTCAACTACAAGTTCTCTTGTTTACTTATTCATGTGAAACATGTTGAACTTGATCGCTTTGGGGTAAGTGTCATTGCTACCAAAATTGATGCTCCGATTTTGGTCCGAGCTAAGCCATTTTCACGCCCTACGCAGAGCGTCACGCGCCATGAGCTTCCAGCACTGATTGGGCCAGTGCTGTGTTATCATTGGCGAATGTCACCAACTTGGACAACAACGACGATCACGAAAACAGATGGAAAGAGAAAGAAAGGTTAAGATACTGTTGGAATCACCGACCTCTTTTGCTCCATCGAGATCGGGTAGACTCGAGTTGTCAAACGTCTCGTGTTGGTACATGCAATCTTTCCGGCTTGTCGTGTTCAAGGTATACGCTTTGTCAACGATAAATCCTGTGGTAGTCCTCGGATACCTCCGATCGCGCTCGATACTCTGTAGTAAGCACGGATGAAAGCAATGATCAGTACTCCAGCTTCTCTAAAGGTCGTTGGCCTGAACCTGACCGCAGCCCAAGACGTGCATTAGACAATACCTTGTGAGCTGCAGAATCAATGGCTAGGCGATCAAGGTCTGACTGGTTTGAGAGTAATTATATAATCTTTGGCATCTAGAGCTGAATGATGCCATTGTCTGCTCATTTGTAGAGCTCATATCGACTTGGCGTGCATCATCACCATCATTGTTGAGCGATGAGGAGCGACGACTACAATGTAACAGGGGTGCTGCAGATATAGAATGACTGACTGGATAATTGAATAAGCAGCTACTGAAGAGGCGAAAAGAATTAGCCGTCTTGCAGGTCCACGTGTTGTTCATTACTACGACAAAAGGCTTCAACGCTACGGGCCCTCAGAGCTGAGCTCGGTGAGTCAGGCCGTCTACGGAGAAAATAATGAACTTACAGCCCGCAGAAGCAAGCTCATACCGCTAAAGTGACGCATAGCTTTATCTGGGTAGGAGATTTGATGAGATAATCTTATCTATGACTCGTTATGTTATGGAGAAGGTCTGTGCCGACGCGCATGAGTAATCACTCTAATATGGCAAACTATGGAGAAACAAAGTCGGGGAAATACCAGGATTGCGGCTGAAAAAAGAACAGATTAGACCAGAAGCAAATCGCCTCTGACTGTTCCGCGATGGAGACGTAGTATCGCATATTCGGTGTCACGAATTTTAGGTCAAGGTGGGGGGTTAGTCTCACTCCGATTCCGGAAAGTCAACGACGCCTTTTTGTCATCAAGAAGGCGCCTCGATGACTGACTTTGCCTGGCCTCAACAACCCATCGCCTAACCTAATAACTACAGGCGCTTACCCGCAGGTAATTGCAAGGGACATAAGAGTCGAAAGCAATGGGGTCCAGTGCACCGAGACGGCCGCCGTCGGATGACGTTGATGGCGATAGTAAGCAGATTTTCATCTCGGGTTTGAGATCCGCTAATGCGTAACCCGATAGTCTTGACCTTCTCGGAACTCGATTTTGCAAGACTTGGCCTTGCGAATAGGACTATTGATGAGAGAGATACGACAATTCAGGACCAGGGATCTCAGCAATCGTATTTTCCGACTCAGAATGATGAGTTTTCGTTTGGTCATGAGCACCTCGATTTCACGGATGACTTTCTCAACTCCATGATCCCACCAGAACAACAAACCGAATTCTGGCTTGATCCTGCATTGAGCCTGAATTCATGGCAAACACCCGCTGCGGCACAGACTCCAACTGGGGGAAACATCTCGCCGTTGGCAACATCGGGTAATCGAGCGGGAACTCCGACAACCACGTCCCCATTTGGGGTTCCTGGATTCGGACAATCGTTCAACGGGTCTCCGATAGCAGAAGGTTCCCAACGCGGACTTCCACGGAAACGGAGCCATTATTTCCGTCGGCAGCCTCATCGCACGGGAAGTGATCCAATCTCAATACCTCGCCATAATCATCAACGCGATAGCACTTTAGATCCTATGCAAAGATGGCAAGAATCGCCCCCAGAAGCTGAAGCGGCGTCACTATCCGCCATTGCTGATGCACTACAAAAAACGCCACTGAGAACTCGCTCATCCGCTGGGAGCCTAGGACGAAGCCGTGTCGGGAGTCGCGCAGGGTCAACGCATAGCCTCGGAAGTGCGACGAGCTGTTCTTCTGCGTCAGTGGGATCACCGCAGTCCGCAACTCGAAAAGGTTCGCTGAAAGGCCGAGTCACCAAGTCAAAACGTTCTTCTACCGCTAAAGGCAAGGAACCCCAGAACAGACGGTTTCCTTGTACGTTTTGCTGTGACAAGTTCAAGAGTAAGTATGACTGGGCCCGGCACGAAAAGTCCCTCCATCTCGACCTTGCAGGCTGGCGATGTGCGCCCTTTGGAGGCGTAGTGGCATCCCCAGAAACAGGACGAAACCACTGTGCATATTGCAGTCAACTCGACCCAACACCAGAACATCTCGAAACTCACAACCACGCTGGTTGTCAGAATGACGACAAACCTCCTGTCTTCAGCCGAAAAGATCATCTTACCCAGCACCTTCGACTCGTGCACCACGTGAAAACGGTACCGGTTATAGATTCGTGGAAAGTCGAGGGCCCGCCCGTGAAATCAAGATGTGGAATCTGTGGTCTTCGAATGGAGTCGTGGAAAGAACGAGTCGAACATCTAGCGAAACATTTTCGAAAGGGCGATACAATGGCCGATTGGAAGGGCGACCATGACTTTGAACCACATGTCAAAGCTCGAGTGACGAATGCGCTGTCACCCTACATGATCGAGGTCGAAGGGAAATGCCCCGTGCCCTTCTCAGCGACTGATCCAAGCTGTCGAGATCATCTTCTTCAGATTCGAGAGAACGTTGGAAGAACCACGGATTTTGTCGACGAGGGTCTGGGCAATCTGGACGCAGTGGAGGAAACTGTGGCCCGACCGCAACGCTCAATGACACAGGATAGCAGCTCCATGGCCTTCCCCGAGTTTCTGGTGCATCACCTGGGCAGATATGCGCAGCGACAGATGGCTCTTGGAGTTATTCCAACAGATGAGATGTTTCAGACTGAAGCGAGGAGGATTGTATACGATACCTCGGATCCATGGGATCAGACGCTAGCAGATAACAAAGACTGGCTTTCGTGTTTTAAAGAACATCATGTTAATGGTTCTTTAGGTAACTGAGGGTCTCTGGAAGAGGATATTCCTTGGAACGGTTCATAGGTAGATTGAAAAACTGGAGTTTGTAGCCCTGGATTGGGCCTTAGATTGCGTTATACTTAAAGGCTAGATAGTAATAAACGGGATTGATAATGTATATGTAGGCTTTCTCATCTTGACGCCTTATGTTTACTAGAGCTGTTCAACGATGTCAATTATACAAGGCGTAGGGCGTAGGGCGTGTTTTCTGGGGCGAGGTTCGGCTTCATCACGCGTGTCGCGACCAATGAACCATGGAAGAACAAATACCCGGTCTTGCCTTGTAACATACATGGAGTTGAACTAGGGAATCGCTCACTAGATGTACTAAAGGAGGCTCCGCGTTGCTGAGAGCCTCATGTTGTTTGATGCTATTTATAGCGTATGTACACCAAATCGAGAATTTCCCATATCATGCATCACAAACCCATGGAGCATACAGCAGATAGAGCAAATGAGATTGAGAAAGAGATAATGTTACCTCCATCACATCATGCATATCTAAAAACAGACTTCAGCGCGAACTGATAAAGCGCCCCAGGTAATCAATCCGAGAGTGGCAACTCCGCCAGCCCCATCAGCCTTGAAAGAGGAAATCCGAAGCGCCTGCGTCTCCATAATAAAAATGTGATCACACCGACTGAAAAGATTGCGCAAGAACTAAAGATAAGCTTAAATACGGAGAAATTGTTCTCTTTAGCTATGATGCTGCAGGATACATTGTAAAGTTGTTGAATGCGAAGATGAAGGTGCCGTTGTATGCGAGCGCTGGTGTCGCAACCTCTTGTGTTGCGTTCCTTTTTGGGTATGTTCTCCAATTCTGAAAGTGATGGGATTGATTGTCTGATTGTGTTGTTTATTATTAGAATGGATACTGGGAGTATTGGTCCCATCACCACCATGACTGCCTTCAAGGAAACCTTTGGTGACTTCTCTGCAACTATCCACGGCGTTATTGTCTCGACGATTCTCATCCCTGGGGCTTTGACGGCACTTATCGCAGGTGCTCTAGCCCATCGCTTCGGACAAGTGAGACTCATCGCTATAGGATCCATCATATTCGGTGTCGGTGCTGCAATCGAATGCGGCGCTCCTTATCTTGGTGTCTTTATCTTGGGTCGGCTCATCAAAGGAATGGGCGAGGGTCTCTTTCTTAGCAACGTCTACGTTCAAGTCTCAGAGATGTCTCCCTCCAGAGTGAGAGGCATCATGACCGCACTTCCGCAGTTTTCCATCACTACTGGCATTGTAACCGGTTACTTCACCTGCTACGGAACATCACGGCTTGGTAGCTCGTCTATCACGTGGCGTCTGCCTCTCGCCATTGTTGCATTTCTCGGTCTTCTTCTGTCGATGGTGGCTTTCATCGTCCCTCCATCCCCACGATGGCTTCTCTCGAAGGGACGAATAGATGAAGCCCGAACGGTTTGCCGACAACTTGGAATCGACGAAGTTGAAGAGAAGGAGCTTCTTGCTCAAATATATGATACCCCGGGTGGTTTAGATGGCGAGACATCGCTGTGGCAAGACATCCAACATACTTTCCGAGATTTCAGATGTGCATTCTCAGCACCATACCGTGGCAGAACAGCTTTTGCTTGCTTTCTCATGGGTATGCAGCAGTTCAGTGGCATCGATGGAGTACTGTACTATGCGCCCATTCTGTTCACACAAGCAGGCCTCAGCGGCGAGAAAGCCTCGTTCCTGGCATCTGGAATTTCTGCCGTCGTGATTCTTGCAGCAACTCTTCCTGCGACAATCTTCGCTGAACAGTGGGGTCGGCGAATGCAGAGTATCCTTGGGGGAATTTTGATCGTCGGCTTGATGGTAATCATGGGATCGCTGTATGCGTCCGGACAAGTTCATCCTGAGCACGGCGCAGGGAGATGGGTCGTCATCGTCTGCATCTACCTCTTCGCTATTGCTTTCAGCTTCACCTGGGCCATTGGCTTCCGGACGTGGGTTGTTGAGAGTATGCCAAGACGGACGAGAAGCAGTGCTTCGAGTCTTGCCCAAAGTTCAAACTGGGTGAGTGAAGCTCCAGAGATAGTGTTGTGATATGTACTGACCTGTTTGATAGGCTGCTAACTACATCGTCGCCCTTGTTACCCCGGTGTTGCTTGACAAGTCGTCGTTTGGCGCCTACTACCTCTTCGCAGGATGCAGTCTTGCAACAACGATAATGGTTGTTCTGTTCATGAGTGAGACGAAAGGTTATAGCTTGGAAGAAATTGAGAAGAGGCATGAGGAGACGAGGGAGAAGAGAATCCCACTTGACCTTTGAAATCATGTCACGTGAGGATAGCCCTGTCTTTTAATGAGAATGAATTAATGCACCAATACTCCTAAAGAGGCCCAAACTTCATTAAGGTCCGCCTGAGATGTTCAAGGATCCATAGCATTATTAAACAAAGCAGCCATCTCGGAGAGGCGTTGGATTTCGGGGTGGATGCAAATCTTATATAGGTAACTGGGTTACGATAAAGGCGATACATCATATTACGCAGAAACAGACTATACGTTAACTCATATTGCATTACAAGGGCCTAAGTTTCACATAGACTTTTCCTTTAACTGTTGTAATAGACGACAGAGTTTGCCATAAGGTACAGACCAATATGTTATTCGATATCGACACTAAGTTTTACAACAGGGTAAAGAAACTTAAGACAATGTGATATATACGAAGTTAGATATGTATGTATGCGTTACTGGACTTGACTACTATTGCGTAATGTTTGCGACATGGCCTCTAGAACTTCTCTCACCAAAGGTGATTTTCACGGACTGGGGCCCCTGTCAAGTACACGACAAATCTAGGCACGTCAATTGGTACTGGCCATTTGAACTCCACGCACGTATCGGTCACGAGACGGTCCTTCTCGGAGATGGCAGTAGATCTCATGTCTTTGGTTCATATTGGTTATATTGACCCTGATCTAAAGATTGCTCTTCAAGTGGCTTGCTCTTCTAGCTTGCAACTTTGGCACCTGGAATTGTTGCATTTAGGGCAGTCAGGATTAGAATATGGGATGCCCGAAATTTGGCAACTGCAACATGCCCAAACCCAGATCGCTTGTTCCCTTTCCCGTGCTTGCGGTTGTGAAATTCCATCTATCGCCATCATTTCCCATGCTTGCAAATGTGGAATCTCATCTAACGCCATGGTGGCGTTTCGCTGGTCTGGCCAGTTCCCAAATAGGCGTCATGACGTGAGATTTCATCGGGCATAGTTGTTTGAAGTTCAACAGCAGGGAGAGATGTGTAAATGAATTGTTCAGTTTGTTCCAGTCATCAATGAGCGAGGTCGCGGGACGAGCTTTTATAATACAATGATATCACTGAAGATACGAAGTGACTGATGCCCTCTTTTATTAAGAAACTATTGACAGTAAGGTCTAAATGTGAAGTTTGGTTTCTGTCTGGGAGGACGTGACGACCGATGCTTTGGCAAAGGTTCAAAGCGGTTGTGTACTAACATAAAGACGAGGGGAAGAGAGAAATACAAGATTCAAAAAACGTTATTCTAAACAATACAGTGAAAGCGACAGGTGTGGTAGTTGTTTCCATTTAGTGTCACCGTGAGGTAACTTCCTCGCTCCTGCTCTTGCCTGCCGTGGTTTTACCGTGCTGAAGACCACCCTCTGCTCTCGCCGTGTTTCTCTCTTGCAAACTTGGTCATTCAATTCTTACATCTTCCACATTCCTCACAAACCATCACGCAGAAATCCAAGCCACTTCTCAAATGCGAGCCTCCAACATCGCCCGCCTGCTCACTTCGCAAGGAGCAACCTGGTTCAATGACCACCTCGATCGCCTTCTCCGCCTCCACCACGCGCAACCTCCCCTTCTCTCCAGTATTGGACTTGTTACGAAGCGCCTGAATGGAGCTGCTTGACCTCCCCTGCGGGGGTTAAAAAAGTAAGTCACTCTTGGAAACGGCTCTCTTCCATACATTCAACGATCAGTTTTACTAACTCGTTCAATTTCTAGCCAAACTTCAACGTCAGTCCAACCTGTGTCCCGATGATCCCACTTATGCATTCTCACATGCTAAACTCCTTGTTCAGAGAACCGGCACTCTCTCCGTAAGTGTCAACAATCTTTGGCTACTACTTGTGACAAGACCAAACTGACGATGTTTCTCTTTCTAGCACGCGACAGAAATGGTCGCTGTAAGTATTCTCCCTATACTCCACTACTGAGCAATACACTGACAATTCTATAGTTCTTGAAAAGCCGGGCAGAAGTAAGACTGATGGCAGGTAGTGTTCACTGTTGACATGTACTGACATGGATGTGTGTAGGCCCGAGACAAAGAACGACGGGCCCTGGTGGCCCAGGAGACGGGGCTGACAACGCTTCTGTGTCAGAAATGGCAGCATAAGGCCGACGTAAGTAATTGCAGCTAGGTTCAATCGTGGGTCTGCTAATATGTTACAACAGAAACTTGAGGCCAAGGAGGCGGGGTCTTCCATCGAGGAACGTTTCGAAGAAGCCCTTGTAAGTTATGCTTCTTGCAGCCACTTGAGAACAGATTTAGCTAACAGACTTGTAGCGAAAAAAGAAGGAGACCAAGGCAAAGGAGACCGACGGCGACGCCGACGCCGAGGAGGAAAGGTGTTGGCAATGCGACCAAAGTCGGCAGCCTCGCAGGCGTACTCGTATGTCTGCAAAGTTACACAATCAAGAATACACAGCAATGGCGCATGGGGGGAGGGTTGACAAGGTCCTGGAGGGATGCGAAGACCAAAATTTAGGATGAGAAAAAATAAACTCCTCAAATTTTAGGATCTGTGCATACTAAAGTCTCCTAAAGTTGTCTAAGCTGATGCTGCTCTTACCTAAAGCTGGCCTAAGACTTGTGCAACCTCCCGAAGGATCAAGGTGAGGTTTCGTGATCTTCTATTGCATGCGCCAAGCGCCAGGATGTGACATAAAGTGGCATAATAAACGCCGATCAGAGTTGAGTTCTGGGTGCACTGTAAGTACCTGCTAGTGGTGGTTGTTTCCATTTGATGCCGTCCATCTCGAGGTATTGGAAGGTAGTTGCCTCGCCTGCCGCCTGTCTTGGTTTTGCCGCAGAAGACCACCTTCTCCTGCCAGCTCTCACATCGCTTTCTCTCTTTTCATCCCTCACCTCCACATCTTTAACATCTTCCGCATTCCCAACCTCACCTCATAAACCAACACGCAGGAAATTAAAGCCACTTCAACCTGCAAGCCCCCGATTTCCTCCGCGCGGTGAGTCCCCCTTATTTTTGATATTCCTGGCCGATAATCCTGTTGAGATTATTTCTAACTAATTGTTGATTGCAGTCCCTTACGTTTCCGTCTCCGCCGTTCCTCGTCTTGCCGCTAACACGCAGTTCGCACAGCGCACTTCAAAGCCCACCGGTGTAAGTTCAACTTGTCCTCCATCGCATCTTTAACACTTCTAACTGGTCTGTCTTCATCTAGTCTTTCAAAACAAAATTCAACTCGTAAGTTTCCCCTCCGTGGCTTGGTTCACTCTCAATTCCAAGCACTCTCAGCTGACCAGTCGTGCAGCAAACACGTCAACAACAGTAAGATCAACTTACCACCGGAGTAACGACACGTCTAGCTGTGCACAGGATTGCTGACAGTCCTTCTAGATGCCTACCAAACGATCTGTAAGTGCGAACGTCCCTTCCGCCCTCCCAACAATCCATCCATAAAATATGACTGCGATCATCAATTCATGGACACGATTACTGACTTTTTTCGTAGGCAGCGCAGTTCAGCGATAAGCCTCTGGCGCTCGGGGGCCTCCGCGGCCACCCTTGTAAGTGCACTCTTCTTCTGTTTGGGTATGGAATTTGTTCTAAGTCATCGTGATAGCCAATTCTCACCTCCCCTGCGAAGGTCCAAAAAGGATGTCACTCTTAGCATGGAGTCTATACATCTCAAACACCGTACGTGCCACTCCTTCATCAGCCGAACAGATCAAGATCTTCCGAGGAATGAGTTTCTAACAGGGAGGTGCTTAGTCCACAAGTTCAACTACTTCGACGACCGCGGCCGCGACCGCGAGCCCAAGGCTGCAAAGCGCTGTGGTTAGCATTTCACAACAATGGTATATATAATTGGGGGCAACGCTGTTCAAAGGTGGAGGGGGGCATGGCACAAACCATGAAGACGACTGTGAGGATCAGCATTTAGGATAAAAGAAGAATAAACTCGTCAAACTTTAGGCTTTGCTTATCCTAAACTCCTCTAAAATGGTCTAATCGGCTGCGGCTCTGTCCTAAGGCTGGTCTAAAGTTTACCCAACGTGGGGTGAGGTCTCATGTTCTTGCATACGTCGAGCGTGACTTCTTGAGTGGACCAAATGAACAGTTGAACTTGTATATTCAGGCTTTGCCGTACCGCCCCCATCCTCGTAGATCTATATCCAATTACATTCTCTATTTGTACACCCGACTCCCATGTATTGATCTCCAAACTGTAGACATGGGGGAATTGAAACGCCGATCGACACTGTGAAGCACAAAACTCCAGCACTAAATAAAAAGAAGACCCATCTACCAAGGCATGCCGTTTTGCTTGATCAGGTCATCCTCAGAAGTCTTGAAGGCCTCCGACTCCTTGAGGAATTGCTTGTGGAAGGTCTCAAGGAGAACACCCGGAAAGACAGCACCGACGGCCTGGACGAGACGATCCTCCTTGCCGATCCAGACGTGCTTGATGAACTTTCCGTCGCAGCCCGAGTTGCTCTCGGGGAAGCCATTAGCCTCAGTACAAGGCAGCGACAGAATCTCATCGGGATACTCGTAGCGGATGAACGTGCCGAAACCGCCCTGATCGGTTGGTTGCCAGCCCTTTCGGTTGCGGAACTCAGTGCAGCCGGGGAACTTGCCGCCGTCGTTGGCACAGTCATCCCACTCCTTGAAGATCTCGTACGTCTTGTTCTTGTTCTGCATGATCATGAAACCAGTGTTCAGGAACAGGTTTCCTCGTCGGTCGCGGTTGTGCTGGGTGTCGGGGTCGTAGGGCAGGGCGAGGGAGTTGTTCTGGGGGGAAATGCTCCAGTAGTTCATGAGCCACTCGAGGGGGAGGTCGAGACGGTTGAAGAGAGCGTCGGAGTCGATGAAGACACAAACGTCGTGCTTCTTCAGAACCTGGGAGAGGACGGAGGGCTTCTTCCACGAATCGCGACGGTCGGGGTAGCCGTTGATCTTGATGTGGTAGTACTGGTACCCGTGGATCTTGGCTATTGAGACATTAGTACACGGCGAGCGCTGGGGAGGGTAAGTCAAGCGAAGGACGTACAGTAGACCCAGTGGTTCAGTGTGCCACCGGATGGGCCGTGGACTTGTCGGCTCTTGTTCCAAGTCATTTCGTCGGACCAGAGCTGGCCGGGCTTATCGAAGCGACGGCTCTCGAGGTCGATGATGCAGAGCTTCTTGCCGAGGGGCTGGGTCCAGATGGGCTTGTCGGAGGGAAGCTTGGAGGGCCAGTGGCCGTAGGGGTAGTATTCGGGGTCGTTGACCTTTACGGCGGGCTTGATCCATTGGTCGGGTGTGAAGGCGTCCAGGTTGGGACCGGTGGGCGCTTGGGGAATGGCGGGAGCTTCAGGTGTTTCCTCGACTTCGGTTTCGGGGATGAACTCTTCTTCACTCTCGGGGTCCTGTTCATGTTCATGTTCGTGGTCGTGCGCTTCCTCGTGCTCGTGCTCGTGGTCATGCTCGTGGTCATGCTCCTTCTCCGGCTCAGCGGCGGGCGAAGCAGCAGCAGCGGGAGTAGAAGAGGCATTCGCAGCCTGCTCCTCAGCCTCAGCAATCTCCTCAGGATCGCTAGGCTCCTCCGCAGGATCAGCCTCAGGCTTATCGGGCGTAACAGCATGGTGATGCTCCTCAGGCTTCGGCGTCTCAGCTACGACCTCAACAGCGGGTGTCGCGCCGATCTCTTCATCTTCGCCGGGTAGGAAAGTCGGTGCAGCAGCGGCGGCTTCTTTCTCGGGGACAAAAGGCGCGGGCTCGTCGCTGTTGGATAAGTGTCAGATCAAAGTTTTATCGCTGCGAACAAAGAGGGGGAGATATGCTTACACTCCGCTCTTTACGGCTGCTGTTGACTCGGAAGGAGTCTTGAGGTGGAAATGCGCAAGACCGAGAAATATGGTGACGAAAACGACGGCGGCCAAGAGCACGGCTCTGTTTGACCTTGGAACGGTCATTTTCTGGATCGGGACGACGATTAATCTGCTGTGTAATGGGAGGATAAAAAAAGAATGTAAAGGAGAACGAATGTCGGAAAGCAAGAAAAATAAAAAATAAAGCAAGACAGAAAAGTGACAGACAGCTGAGCTGAGAGAGGGGGGAATAAAGGAACTGACAACAGACCCCTGACTCTCCCGTCTCTTTTAACTGGAGTCCAGGGGGTTCTTACTTTAGTTACAGTATCATTTTCTGCTCTCCCTACCGTAGCGATCGTGCTTGTCTCAGTACAGGTAGCGCTTCATAACGGTTGGTCAAGGCTTGACGCCTCGTTGATCCACTGTAATCAATCTGCGACGACGCCTGGAGAAAAAGGGGACCATGAGGCCACGGTATTAACCTTGCTGTGCCTGTTTCTGATGAAGGGTTATTCCGCCGATCAGATTGAAGATTAAAAGACTGTCTTCATAAGGTTATTATTAGAGTCTTGATTGATGGTGATACTGTACTGGGCACTGTAGGTTGCACGCGATGCGGGGGTGCTTACGCTTACTTTGGTCCCTTTGACGGATCCTGTTCCGCCAAGCAATTTCTTACCCAGATCTCGTCACTTCTTCCAGCGTCTTTCTCGAACGCATCAGTTCTTTTACAGGCTCTGCCATTAATTACAGCGTCTTGTGGGCTTGAGAAGTCAGCAAGCACTCGCAATCTCACAGTATCGCCAATTAGTGCTTGGTCACGCTTCGCTCCATAAACTTTGAACCTTGCAGGGCTGTAACTCTGTTTTTCTCCTCCCGAAACTGCCGTCGTTAGCATCAGACTCAACGGTCGGGCGCCACCAAACCAACCCAACTTCTTTCTGCCTCAACGACGCTCCTCAAATGTCCACTGCTGTGACAAGATGATGCTTTAACGTTCAATAACTGAATATGAGAAGCATTCTCCTCTCTCGATTGCTTTTGTCTTCTTGAGCTCCAAAAGAGGGGGCTTCTTTGTTACTGTACGATTCCTCAGCTGAAGCTAAAGACGCCACTTGAAACGGGTTTTAATTGGATGGCTGCTGAGCTCCCCCCGCCCCCTTGCTTTGGCGATGATGCTTATGACCGGTAATCATTCCTGTGCTGTATGTACGGAGTACTCTAGGCCTTGATCATTTCAGTGTTGTAAACTCCCTATTTGCATGCTTTAGGCGCAAAGCAACTGCTGTTCTGCCTGTTCAATTACCATCGCGATAAGCAGCGAACCAAGTCCCGATAACCCCCTGGGCTAGCCCTGTCTCGCTTTGTCCTTGCTCAGATTCTAATCCCTGTCACCTGAAAACGCACTTTTGTCAATAGCGCGCCCATCCACCAATAAGCGTCCGTGGATCTGTTCCACCCTAAGCTAACGATGTTTTGAGCCATGGTCGCTCCACGCTATCGATTTGTTTCAACTCCTTTTGTCACGCTATTGAAGCTATCGTCAGTTTTTGCGGCGTTGGCTCAGGGGCAGTTAATTTTCGTACAAATTTTGTGGCTCATTAGGTTCAGGTACTAGCACCTGTCAGTCGTCGATATCCGTTATGCCGGCGCCTCAATTAGACAGCTATAGGGTATGGCAATTTCGCCTTTTCATTTCTCACGAACTCTTTTCATTATGGTCAACCTTAGCCATGGCTAAGATCACGGAGGTTTTCCTAGGTGATGGTTTACTCCCCAGTGCATTTAATCATCACTTTCATGTCCGTTGTTCAGGATAACTTAGGAATTGCCTGTAGTATCTTATCCTTAAAAACATAAATTGTCTCTAGAAGCCTATCCATATGAAACTCATCAACTCATACGTGCTCTAAAAAAAGGCATAGTATCATAAGGTTTAATACATAAGGAGCCTGTAATATCAATAGGCTCATTCCCCGTTCGTCGCAGGGAGAGATTGTCATGAGATACAGTCGGTTTATAGTACTTCAGTAAAGTAAGCATCAAACACTTAGGTATATGATAAGATGGCAAAAGTTTAGTCCAGCATTATGAAAGATTTTAATAATAAATAATTAAAAAGTCTCTAAAATATACTATAATGCTAGTTACTAACGCAGTTCATGCTATAATTAGATAGTAAATTCACATCAGTAAGATAAGGTGTTCGAAACGTTCATAAGTCATCATGCAGAGGATCCAAGCCTCTTCTAATAGCGACCTTAATTCTAAACCTGAGCCCGCCTCCTCTACACAGGACTCAGATATCACTCTGACTGACCAACTCAATCTTAGTCACTTAGCATTAGCCTAGAGATGACCAACTCGAATACCAGTAATGCCGGAGAGCTGAAGAGAAGTCGCAACGGCTTTTCGGAAACAAAGAGCAAAATGTCTCCCACCATACTGAGCGACCTTCACTTGTGAAAAAGGCCTTCCTAACAGACCAACTAGTGGCAACTTGGAATCAGTCACTTGAAGGTTATTCATGGGGTCTGCATCTCTACGGAAAGACTGCACGGATCCTGGAGCCCACAAGGGCATTCTATTCTTACAGACTTGACAGCCCCAACTCACGACGAGCGTGAGATGCGTCCTGTGGCTGAGCTCCGAAACAGAGCTATTTTCGCAGCGCCTTCGGCATGACCTTACTTGAATTTAGGTCGAAGGTGATGTGCTTGGGTAGCAGAAAACTGCATTGGGTGTTTCATGTTGTTCGCGCTGATCAAGGAGATCAGTGAGAAGATGGTGATACTTTACCTTCTACCTTTATTGTGCTGCAACCACTTCGATACAAACTTATATACACTCGCGAAGTAGAGAGATACTATTCATCATCACTAGGGTCACTAAAGATCTCATGTGACGTCAGGTATGGTCAAGCTTCTAGTATTCGAGGAGGGTCATTTGGACCTCCATGGCTGTCTTTACCTTTTTACCTACAATAGTCTCATATCCCCATTTATGATGTTGAGGCAAATGACAGAAGTTCCATGAGTTGCAGGCCAAGAAAGAAGGGAGCTAGAGTCTCCCTTTTGACTTCATCTTGATGCTCCTGGTAAAGAAGTTCTGAAAGCTCATGGGGCCAAGGAATGATTGCCCACTCTTACTAAGTCTCAAGATCTGTACCTAGCAGTCTCTGAATCGTCCATAGAATGCCCTCGAGAGTGAAAAGTCTTTGTGCCTAGTCCCGAAGGCAAGTATAACATTCAAGCTTCTGATGCTTTAAACCGACGTCTGTCATTCCATTGCAGAGACAATGGTACCAGCCTTCTAAGTTATCCCAACACAGGAACAAATAACCAGGGCTGTTCTCCTCCTGAATTGGGTCCTTGTCCATCTGGCAGAGTATCCTCAACTTGACAGGGAATTGAAGTGCAAGTTGATTATTTATTTAGGGCCTGGTCTGATGATTCTGATCCAGGTTACAGATCCTAAATGGTGATAGCCACCTTTGAATGGTCTGAAACAGGAGCTATTCAAGGCTACGTTTCGCATCGCCATCCTTATTATTTAAAGCTCGTGTTTCCCATATAAACGAAACATGCTAGGAATCGTAACGCACCATTTACAAGTCCAAGCTTTGGTACGCCCAGCATACTCAATAATTATCTGGCTTATAAACTGGGATAGACGTCCAAAATGTCGTGGAAACTCTCCATAATCCGACGTAATTCGCAATGCTGTTCAAGGCATCTTTATTGTCGGCATTATTGCCTTCAGCGATAGCAGCTGCAACAACATGCAAGCTGCCAAGAACCGATGCCCACTTTAGTGTTGGACATGGGTTTCAGGACGACTGTATTTCTGGAACTGGTACGATCCAGGGTTACATGATCTTTGTCGATTTTTCCGACGCTCAATCACCAGCTTCTGAATCCGTCAAAGAGCTGCGCGATCTTCTGGTACCGGATGCAGCAAAATGGTACCAGATAGCCAGCTACGGCCAGCTTGAACTCAATATCACAGCCGATACCACCAAGTTCTACCGCATGCCCAAATCAGCAGCATCCTACAAATGGGAAGAGCGTTTTAGCGCTGAACAGCATCTGTCTTATATCCAAGATGCTCTCGACGCGTATACAAAGAACGGTGCGAGAGCACCACCCGCCGAGACGGACATTCTGTACATCGCGACAACACGTAACAACGACAAGATGACCCGATCACTCGGATCCAGCTTCAACGTGTCTACACGGAATGGGAAACTCGTCTCCAGAAGAGCTGTCACCTTCGGCGCCGATCCCTACATCTCGTGGGGCTATAAGGCGGTCAATCACGAGACAGGACGCTCGATGTGTTTGCCCGACTACTACCCTAATACGCCGGACCTGCCGACTGGCTACTACACTGGAGGATGGAGTATCATGGGAAATGTGGGAGGAGTGGCTCCTGATTTCTTTGCTTGGGATAAATGGAGACTTGGATGGTTGGCCGATAAGGCCATTGACTGTGTTCTTGAACGTGGTACGACAAAGCATACGTTGACTCCCGTTGAGATTGAAGGTGGCGTCAAGGCTGTTGTCGTTGCGAAGAACGACACTTCTGCTTTGGTCGTCGAAGCTCGTGTTGCGAACGGCGTTGATGGGAATATTTGCGCACCGGGAGTTCTTCTGTATACCGTCGATACAACGCTAGCCACGTCGGAGGGTTCAATCAAGGTCTTGGATGCAACGCCCGGATCGAACGGCTGCGGGGATGCCAATGGCGCGGAACCATTGAACGACGGGACTTTGTCGATGAATGGGAAGAAGTCGTTTGAGGCCTCGGAATGGGGAGTCAAGGTCACGTTGATCGATGACAAAAATGACCAGTTCAATATCGAGGTTCAGTACTCTTAGGCTCGTTTAGCTAGGGTTGCATTGCATACGAGAATTTGGGGAGAAATACAGATCATTTATTGGCTGTACCATCTTGACCTGCAGAATAGATGACATCCACAACCCACGAGTCGTGAACACCGACGGAATTTACGATCATGACTGGCTATACTCATGACGAAGGTAGTATCGGCCAAGCCAAGTCTCCCCCCTTCGGCCAATTCCAGGTCCATGGTTCCATCACTAGTGGTCGAGCTGCCAATTACGGTCCGATCACAAGAACCTTAACGGCCCGTTTGTGGTTCCCCATCGATATATCCGGGGTTTCAAGTCTCCCGATGTTTTGCCATCTCAAGGTCCCCGCATGCATTGTTTTATTTGCGATTCCCCATGGGGAATACTCTTGCGTGCATCATTCGACTTGCGATTCAGACCAAAAGGGCGGGCGGCAGTTGACCTCGGCAAGCGTGAATATTCGGAATTGTGGTCGAAATAGGGAATGGGCGTGGTATCCCTGGTTAATAATATACGTGATGCATTGAGAGTTTTTGATGGATTTTATGGGAATTCTTCCGCATGACGTTTCTGTTCTCCGCTCGATGGCACTCTAGCCGGAGCTTTGGTCTATGGGTTGACCAAGCTAGTCAAGGCCTTGATTTTTTCCCAAGACCATCGGAATAATAAATAATGTCGAGTTCCACTGACAAGATGGTTCTGAGACTCGAGAAGTGTCACGCCAAGCCTTCTTTTCACTATGCCTTCTCTCCTGAAACTGGCCACTGCGGTCGCCCTTCTCACTGAAGGCGTTCTTGGACGACAAGCCCCTTCTGTGCGAGTCAAGAACGGTACACTTGAGGGCAAATATGTCGCTGGATTAGATCAAGATCTCTTCCTCGGTGTTCCCTTTGCTCAACCTCCTGTCGGCCAACTTCGTCTTCAGAACCCTCAGCCTTTGAACCAGACTTTCAAGGTCAAGAAGGTCACCAAGTATGCCGATTCATGTGTCGGCTATGGAGTAAGTCTTCTTTCACATAATGATGTGAAGTCTTTCTGACGTTATGTAGAACACCGCTGATCAAGGTCCTGCGACCTTCAGCGAGGACTGCTTGACTCTGAACATCGTCAGGCCTGCCATATCCAAGGGCAGCAAGAAGGAGAAACTCCCAGTTGGTGTCTTTATCCACGGTGGAGGTTGGACCATGGACTTTAGCGCCAACGGTGTTTACAACATGAGCTTCATGGTTGAGGAGTCCGTCAAGATGGGCAAGCCTTTCATTGGAGTGTCCGTCGACTGTAAGCCACCTACCTCATACCATTCAGACCTATGACTAACGATCAGCAGACAGACTTTCTTTCTGGGGATTTATGGCTAGCAAGGATATCCTCGATGCCGGAGTTGCCAACCTTGGCTTGAAGGACCAGCGCATTGCCCTGCACTGGGTCAAAGAGAACATCGCCGCCTTCGGAGGTGACCCTTCAAAGGTTACCATCTTCGGTGAGAGTGCCGGTGGTGGTAACGTCGGCTACCAAGCCATGGCTTACGGCGGCGTTGACGAGGGGCTATTCCGTGGTATCATCGCCGAATCTGGAGCTGACGGCACTGACATGAAGAACTACACGGGACCCCAGCAGCGCTACGACACTATCGTCAAGGCAGTTGGCTGCGACAAGGAATCCGATAAGCTTGCCTGTCTCCGCCAAGTTCCCTTCGAGAAACTGAACGCCACGAGCACCAAGATCCAAGGCAGCTTCTACCCCGTTGTTGACGAAGACTTTGTCCCCGACTATCCCTCCAAGCTTCTCGCCGACGGAAACTTCACCAAGGTGCCTCTCATGGCTGGAACAAATGCTGATGAGGGTAGTTTCTTCGGTCTGCCAGGTGTTGACTCCACTGAAGAGGCTGTTTCTAAACTTCGAGCCACTGGACTTGATGCTGATACCATCGATACACTCTTGGCTCTGTATCCCAACATCGATGCTCTTGGAATTCCATCGGGGTACCGTTACAAGTCAAGTGATCCTGTCAAGAAGCAGTATAAGAGATGGGCTGCTCTGCAGGGTGACCAGCTCTTCATGTCGTGGAGACGTGCGCGAACTGATGCTTGGTCTAAGCACAACGTGACTTCATATGCCTACCTGTTTGAGTCCCCCAATACCAACATGCGTAAGTATATCCCTCAAGCGCTCGAGATGATTTGTGTTGGCTGACATGGACTGTAGCCGACTACATCGGAACTCCTCACTTTGTCGAAATCGCTTACGTTTTCTACAACATGCTCGGACAAGGCTACAGCAAGGGTCAAGGCCCTCTTGTCAACGCATCAAAGGAGGTTCTCGACCTCGCTAAGCTTGTGAGCCATATGTGGATCAGCTTCATCACTGAGCTCAACCCCAACGAACACGGAAGTAAGTTTTTCATGTTCCCTACATGCACGATATCAAACTAACCTTTGTAGTTTCCGGTGTTCCCGAGTGGCCTGTTTTCAACAATGGTGGTGGATACGGCGAGCACTTCTACTTCAATCCTAATGGATCGATGGCTCAGCCTGATACTCTCCGACTGGCTGGTACTACGTTCATGAACTCGGTTTCTGCTGACCAGTATGGAAGATAAACTTAGAAGATCTCTGCTTTACTTTCTTCACTTATATAGTTGTCAATCATCCATGGATGAGTTAGGGTACAAATCTTGACATAGTATCCATATCGAATATTTTCACAAGCGCTCTATCCGCAGTGTCATTCCGCCGCGGCAAGGTCTTATCGGTAAAGGCACGGTTCAGAGAGAGGTCGTTTTCCATTTATTTAAGGTTCAAGGCTGCATTAATGGATGTTACATTGAAGACTATCGAAAGCATGTCCAAAGTCAACCAACAAGATACATACCCTGGGCGTTGAAGTGCACTAGCCAATGACGAATTGAGTTTATACCAGGGGGCTCACCACGAGCTATTGCTACCTAGTCGCGGCGTGGCGCTGATTAAGACGATGAGATGCGGGAGGATCACCCTAGCCTGGAGCATAAATCGTACGACTCTGCATGGTCAAATGCAGTAATTGTGCGCGAATTGCAGTTTCTCATGTTGGTCCATAGGCATATGGTTAGTCAATTCGTATCGTGGCTTCGAGACTATACACGCGGCCTCGAGAATCAATGTTGGTTAGCAGCTTAGCATTTGTACGAACAGGGTATTGATGCACGCTTTGACAAGATCCTTGTCATGACCACAAATCAAAGAACCTTCTCAAGATTGTTGGTCGAGACTCGAGGAAATACGTCGATTTTGCTTAGACGACGTTACATCTCGATTATACGTGCCGTGCCGGACCATGTGTTGGCATGCAGCTAAATTTCTTCAACAGATCCGGTCCAACCCTAGACCCCTGCATCACCTTTTCTCTGCAGTGACGGCCCACCGATGCATGCGGCTTGAAAGATGCTGTGTGATCGATGGAATCAGTTCCGAGCTTGACTTGCGTATGTCGTCCACCGAGGCGAGACGGGACGGTGCTTAGTACGCATGATACACGTTGACATGAACATGCAATCACCTGATATCCATGAAGGGGTACGAGGTGGGAGTGGATGTACCAATGCTGGAGCCTGGCACCTAAGAATAATTGGCAAAAATGCAGAAGCGCTCACTGTGTATACAAATGTTAAAGGTTGACAGCCTCAGTGCCGAGCCTGAAAATGTGAGAACTGAGCAGTGAGATTCGACTGAGGCCAGCCAGGCTGGACAATTGATAATCAATGATCGACAATATTATCAACTGACAGCAAAGCTTGGCAGCGCGGGATCGTCCAAGAGAATACAGGCATATACCGCGCACCAATGATATCCCTCAACAGAAGCATACACTTTGAACGTTAACTATCATCACCGCGTCATGCATATACTGCCACTTTACAAAAGGACCAACGCGTACAGTTACCTAGGCCCCCATTCTGGCTTCCTCTTCTCCAAGAACGCCTTGACACCCTCTCGCTTATCCCCCGTCCCAAACGCAAAGTAATACAAACTCCTCTCAAACTCATGATCGGCCCCCAGATCATCAGCTATGATGAACACGTTAGTCAACGTGGCACACGAAACCATAGGTTGACCACTTACATCTACAGATAGCCTCCTTAGCCAAGCCCAGCGCCGTGGGGCTCAGGGCCGCAAGCGTCGATGCATGATCCTTCACAACGTGCTCGAGGACTTTGCCGCTCTCATACAGCTGCGCGAGAAGACCCACGGACCGGGCCTCTTCCGCTGATATGGGCTGGCCAAGGAGGATCATCTGCATGGCCTGTATCACGCATGTCAGCACAGGGTAACACGAGGCTTTGAGGGGAGGGGGGAGGGAAATACCTTGTACTTTCCCACGGCGTTGGTCAGACGCTGTGTACCGCCAGCGCCAGGGATGAGACCAATCTTGACTTCTGGAAGACCGAAGCGGCTTCCGTCCGCGGAAAAGATCAGGTCACACTGTGAGACGTCAGCAAACCCACGGGTTCCGTCCACGGAAAGGAAGGGGGAGAAAGCTCAACTCACCATGAGAGCAAGCTCAAAGCCCCCTCCGAGCTGTCAATCCCCAGCAAAAGTATCGTCAGTCTAGTCTCAACCAACACCTCGGGTACCGTAGTCTAAAAGAACTAAACTCACCGCCATTCCCTCAACAGCAGCTATCAAGGGCTTGCGCACGGCCTGCATCCCCGAGCAAAGGTCCGCCAGATAGCGGCAGCCCCGCGCGTCTTCCGCATCGAGCCGCGAGATCTCCCCGATATCAGCTCCCGCTAAAATAAATCATTGGCACGTCAGTTCCAGTTCAGCTTAGCCCTGCCACTAACTTAGAGCGCGACAAGTGCCGGGGGGGCTATACCCCTGTGGCGTGTGGATTCACCCATGGGTACCCGTACAGAGTATGGGTATGGGTATGGGTAGGACAGGGTACAGTACCGCAGAAGAAAGAAGAGCTGCCGGTGATGACAATGACTCGCACGCCATCGTCCCTGGACGCCGTGTTCAGCTGTTCCAGAAACACGGTAATGAGCTCCTGCGAGAGGGCGTTTCGCTTGGAGGGTCTGTTTAACGCGAGGACGCGTACGCCGTCTGCAGGCGTCGACGCAAGGACCAATTGCTCCTCCATGACAAGATCGATATCGATGACAGAATCGTACGAGAGAGAGAAAAGAAAAAGTGTAGCTGAAAGCACTGCACTTGGCAAGATTGACCGTCTTGTCGGGTTGCGTTGGATCAAATAGTTCGGGTACGTCAATAACGCGAGGTTAGCCGCGTCGATCACTCAATCGATAGTGGGGGAGTGTCTTTGATTCAACTGAGACATGGCTGGGATCAACCCAGCAAGCAGAAAGAGCTGCAGCCTGCACTGCGCTGCGCTGCAGAGAGTAGAGTGAGACACCGCAGATTTTTGGTGTTGGCTGAGGCATATTTTGAAAGGGCGGTGGTTGGGGACTAATTCCACGTCGGGAAGTATTGCTGAAAATCTCGTAGTTTGCTGTTTCTCGTGTCGATCTTGGTGTCTGTCATTCCGTTGGCTTGGTCCGAGTGTCGAGCCGTTCGCATGCTTAGCTCTTAGACCCGATGATCGTTTTGTTGAGTAAGATTTGACTGATAGATTTCTCGGTGAGTCTCCAAAAACCTGTTCAAATAACCCAAATACTTGTTTTTTCTTTATATTCTATACAATATAGGTGATGAGTAAGCTATCTGTCATTTAGGCTTATCTTGGATAACCTCATTCAAGAATTGCGGCACAGCTTACAGCCCAACTCCACCTCATATCATCTTGTCTCGGCTCATGTGAGATTTTGCAGATGCCGAACTCAGATCCTGCAGCTCCCGCAGAACCCGCGTGCTAGAGATGTCTTGGCCAACCCTTGTATCCACAGCCATGACCATAGCCAGGGCAGATCCCTCTCTACATGCGGGCCTGCGGGCCTACGGTACGTACGTAGGTATTTCTGCTGTACCTACCAACAGGGGTACGCACGCAGACCACATCACACGCCTCGTTGTTCTTTTCGGTTAAAGACCTCGATGAGTTCAGGTACATTACCAACTTGCCCCAACTGGGACCAACGGACCCAGAGCAAATTCAGACTCTTGCCCCATCTGTCATGTGCGTATACCTGTTGAGCTGTCCCTCTTTTTCGACGCTATCAAGGAACTACATGCCTTAGCTTGGCAGATGGTTTCTTGTTTACCAACAGATTTTTACCGTATTAGGTCGACTCCGGAGTTTCGAAAGGCGGATCCTTTCTTGTATCTCGATAGAGGAAAAAAGACGCACTC